ATTTATAAATACTGCAATATACCAGAATTTTTTTTGAATTTTGATTCAATGGTAACTTCAAAGTTTGAAGCTCCATCAATGCTCAATATACAAACATATATATTTTTTCCTGCAATCATACACTATGGGAGTAGTGAAAAGCACATCTTTCTTAAGGTGTGCCTTTAGCCCCGTTGTACCCTACTTCAAATTATGATTAGCTTGGCAAGCTACAATTTCAAGGTAGCTTTCCAAACACAGATAACAACTGACCAGGCCAAGTCTTTGCTGAGTAAGACCTTGGCATGAAAATAAGATCTTGTAACATTGAAGGGGAAAGGTTTTCCCTTGTTCCTAGCAGAAGGCAGAAGTTAAGAATTCACGCCTCAGCAAATTCACTGAGAGCCCAGTATATATAATATATTGTACCGTATAAGGCTAAAGCATATTTGGATTTCCAAGAGCACTTGGTGCAGTCATTTAGCAAGAATGATTTGTACGGCAGTTTTTCTTAATCTGCGTTTTCTTAGAGGCGTCTAAACTTACGCTACTCCTACATCATACATCGACAAGTGTTACTCTTTTGGCGTAAATTGATGCGTAGACCGTCTGCCGGAAGCTAGTTATTTTAGTCGATAAAGTTTTAAATATGGATATTTTTCTTACACGAACACATCGCTTCACTTCAGAAGGCCTTTATTAACCCCCGCAGAGCAGTGTGGATACATTTATGATGAATAGATGCACTTTGACGGACTTCAAAACATAAACTGCCATTATAAAGCTTGGAAGATCCAGGACATTTTGTAATATAACTCAGATTGTATTCGTCTGAAAGAAGAATGTCATATAGCCTACACCTAGGATGACTTGAGGGTGAGTAAATCATGGGCTAATTTTCATTTTTGGGTTAACTATCTCTTTAATGTCAATATAGCATAAATAAATAAACAGACAAACATGCTGGAAATAAACATTATGTCTTTCACCAAGCTTGTTCAAAACACTCAAAAACATCTGTGAACAAATGAAATCCCTATAGCTTATAAATAAATACTTGTGCTCTGAAATATATTGTTTACATTGCTCGGTATGTTTACATAAATTGTAGCATCAAGCTAATCTATTTCTTTAAAATCTTTTTATAATTTTGCAATATGTAAAGAAAGAGTTTTGGAGTCCATTTAAAATCATTTTATCACAGATGGCAGCCATAAGAAAAATAAAAACGAACTTTTAATGTGGTCAGCGTTTTATTATTTATACTACTTACAATAAGCAGCAACTAAAGTCTAGTGAAATCTTCAGTGCACACTGGGCATTTGAAGGATTTTTCATTTCAATTGTTGAAATGAACACCGAAACAATAAACTGCAAATTTTTTAGTGGTCCCCTAATTTAGATGCCAACTATCGGCCCCTAATTCAATCACAGGCAAGGTGGGACTGGGCAAAGTTAATAATAAAGATTTGACACTTCATAAGCCTGTCGTAGTGATCGCAGACAAGCCCAGACAATAGCAGGCCTACCTCACCGAAACAAGAAATTATGATGCCGTCACTGCAAATAAGAATCATCATCAGTCTCAGACCCCAAAAAAAGATCTCTCTTGTTTCCAAGTAGGGTTCTGGCATTTCAACCCAAACACCTGCTGTCTCGACTGAGGGCACAGAATTTATTTTAAAATTACTAAAGTCCTACTATACTTTTTTTAAATTTTCAAATCAGGATCAAAAAGGGATTCATAATCGCTGAGACAACAAATTAATTATCATTGCCATCAGCTGTCTACATAAACGTACACATAAAGCCAACCAGTGAATTCAATGAACTGAAGCTGAACTCACATTAGCAAAGCACTCAGAAACATGAATATTAATGGACATCACGGCAATTTTTTTTAAACATAAATGTATGATTCAAGACCTGCATAGAAATATAACCACTGTTTGTAGTTTGATCACTTTCTGTGCCTGATGGAAATAATAATAAAAAAAGTTCCAAATTGAATTTAAACTAATATAAACTGACCCAAAGAACCTGTGCAGACACACAACAGAATAAGACCAGCAGTCTTCTCTCAGTTAACTTCTTAACACACAGTCTTTTGAACGGTCTGATATTAAAGAACCCCATTGAATAAAATTTAATTATGTGGCTCTTAGCCTGTTTCTGTTAGCTTTGAGGTTATCTGTATGCTCGTGTGCTCCTAAAGACTGAAAAAGTTTCATTTTTAGCAGATATACACACTTAAAATATATTCTTTCTCTTGATAATGTTGATGCCTTCAGCATTCGCCAGTGTCTGAAGCACGTGTAAAATCACGCCAATCCTATTGGCCGACGGAGGTTTTGTGACGAAGTATCACCAAGACCATTAAAGGGCGCCTACGTCACGGAATCTCCAGATTCTAATTGTCTGAAGTGGCTGAGCAGACATGAAGTATGGCAAAGCAATGCAGTGTCTCGTACCCTTCTCAGAGAACCAGGTTACATTCGTAACCCTGAGATGTTCCCTTTTGAGGAAACTGAACACTGTAACATGGCAAAGCCATTCTGCACCTCTTAGGCAAGGTGAGAAATGTCTGACCAGCAAGGTTGTGAAGTATGGATACGCACAAGCCTTTTGGCCACCAAAGAAAAAATAACCCAGAAGGACTTGAGATCCCGGGGTTAAATCCATATGATTGCGTGCGGAAAGGACCAGCCTGCCACAACATAAAACATCTCGTAAAGGCGCACCTTAGCTAGTGCACTCCTAGTGTGGTATGCTTGATACCAAACATGCTGTGCACCTCGCAAGCAATAATAAAAAAAAAAGACTGACCTGTAAGGTTATCATTTTGTGTTTACAAACTTTATGCCCAGTTAGGAAGGATTAACCTAGAAAGACCTAACCCTGAGATCCTGGTGTTGAATCTATATCCAAAATGTAGAACCTTATGTGAAATGTGTAGAGAGAACCAACCAACTGCAGCACAAACATCTGGCAAACGCTAGCGCTTTAGAACAGGCCACACCCCTAGCGGAGTGGGCTTTGGTCCCTAGAGACGAAGCCATACTGCACGCCTCATAGGCAAAAGAAATCACATCAAAAATCCAATGTGAAAAGCGCTGTTTTGGTGGCAGGAACAGTTGATTTAGATTTAGACACTGAAACAGGCATGCGGCTTCTGAAGACAAAAAGACCCTTTTAGGTCTTGATGATGACGCACTACGCTTCGTCACCTGACATCCGCCGGCCAATAGGATTGGCATCATTTCAAATGTGCTTCAGACACTGGTGCACACTGAAGTCATTCCCAAGTCATTTTGTTTCTAATCTTGAATTTCAGTGGTATCATACTCATGGAAACTAGCTTCTACTAAAGGACCAAGATGATCTGAAGTTGATTTGAAGACAGGCTTCAGGGTCAACAACAAAATACATGAAAGCATTTTTTTTAAAGTGCAGCCTATTTACTTTACTATACTATCTAGCATTTTATGATTTGCAGTTAGCATATAGGGTGATGACTGCAGCCACCCTGTAGAGTGCAGGTATCAGCATTGCTTCTATTGCAGATTGACAGGCACATCAGATAACTCTCAGCCTTTGTTCCTGTTGTCACAGGATGTTTATAGTGTTTTTGTTTTGTGTCATTTATCTCTTTTGCTCTCCTTTTTTTTCTTCTTATCGCCACTGAATGTGGTAGAGTAACTGAATCTAAGAAGCATGTCAGGAGCGATTTGCTTTGTGTCACCTTGATGAAACTGTTGTTTGTGTATGTGTGTGTTTGAGTGGGCTACCATATTTCGCTCTGTGATGATAGAGCTGGTGCCTTGATTTAGTGATTGCCAAACACACCAAGTGAGAGAGGTATACTGGAGAAGAGAGAGCGAGAATGACTCAAAAACCTACTCAGGGCTACACTTGCATTTCAGTCCAACAATACAACACATAGAAGTAATTTTAACCATATCTTTCTTTTATCTTTTAATTTCAAAAACAGAAAGGTACATATAATGACACATTCAAGGCCATACAGTATGCCACAAGGGTATTCATCACATTGTCCTCTCAGAGATGCCCAGGTCATTACTGAAGATAATTTTTCGTCATTAAGTAGGAGGATCACCTTTATTTCACCCGTATGACTTTGGTAGCGATTAGCGCTTGCTTTATTCCAGTCAGACGGGGAGAGTAATTACTCAACCTCTAGATAAAACACTGATGCAGCCACGATGACAGAGGTTCTCCATACATCTAACCGACACTCTCCAAAGCTGTAATGATTAGATAAGAGCACATTTATGAGTCAAATATAAAGCATATGACCTCCAGAACTTCCCAAGCACCAGTGTAAAGAACACAAACTGCAGCTTCAGAAACACTACCCCTTCAGAGGGTTCTTGATTTGTACAATGGTGTGACAGCTCGCGTCCCAAAATTCCCGAGGCTGGCGACACCACCACGGCCTTACGAACGTGCGGTCAGGACTTGGAGCAGCTGACATTTAAAGGACAGATAGCTGGAGGGAAGAGATGGTTTAGGTGTGGAAAAACAACACTTCTCCCATGCATTTCCGCTTCAGAGCTTTCTGACCGACCACACAAGCATGCCAAACCACTAGCAGCATGTCTACTATCAGAACCTCTCCTGTCTCTTTCCACGCACTTTCTTTTCTCAAGGGCCATGCTACATGGAGTTTATTGCTTCTTTTAGAGGGGCAAATCAATGAATTTTACTCATGAATATCAACTTAAGGAACAACACAAGAGCAGCACTGAATATCAGCACAAGTTGTTAAAGGCATACTTGACCAAAAAAATATGACAGATTTTGTGTGTGTGAACTATCCCTTTAAAATCAAGTAATTTCAGGTTTCAATAACATTTTTTTTTATAAAATACTTCCCAAAAAAGCATTGTGTCGCCAACACATACTGTAGTACAGACCAGAAGAGAGGTTGCGAGTCGAATTTCCCTCCCTCATCAAAACGCTTCATAATCACACATGCATGGTTTTCTAGCTCCACTCCGTTTTGTTTTGCATTTCTCCGTTGAGAGAAATCCAGCTTCTGGCACTCAATTTTGGTCTCAGACGCTCTCAAAACAAAACAATCCCACTTTCAGTCTACACCGCTCACATACTCTGGTCTGGAACGTCGCAAACGCAGACAAGCGAAATCATACAAACACTGAAATATCAGCACTCCGCACAGCCAATCAGATTCAAGAACTAACTGTTCAATAAGGGATCTAAGCTACAGTAGCACAGAGGACAGTTTGAGGCCAAACTACACATGACCACAGAAGTCTAATGAGAAATTGTAGTCTCATTAATAAAACAAAGGGAAATTATGTTTTACATTAATACAGATTCAGGAAGACCTCAGGGTGGGTGAGAAAAATTATAAAACCTACAAGCCTCAACCATTCTAAAATGCATGTATCATTGGTCATAGCACACATGCAATTCGATATATAAAAGGATATGCACACATGTTCAACCCAGTGACAAGACGCATTGAGTTTCGTATAAAATCTCACCCATCACTCTAGACCATTTAACATCACACACACATACACTTTTCAAAAACTTAATATTTGCATTTGTCCTTCAATGCATTGTCAGATTTTTCTTTAAGCTACATACACTTTTAAACTATACAACAATGGCAATACATTAACTCTTGGTCTACCTGTTACTCTTACTACACTTGTCATCGCTCGTGTTCTGCTATAATGGTGATGCACTGACGCAAGCTTATTAGAGCATTAAATGCAAAGTCAAATCAAATGAACATTAACATTTAACATACAGCCCTCTTTTTTTCCCAGCTATCTGTCTCCCTGAGGAAACAGAGCGTTCAGTAGTGGTATTTTCCAAGGTCCTGAGTTCGAAATGACTTCATATGTTCATCTGAACCATTGGCAGTCCATCTATTCTCAACGATCGAATGGTTATGTAATGTGATCAGCCCTCACGTCGTGCAGGTATTGTTACTTAGGCTAGTAAACAAGGGTTAATACTCTACTTAAAAAAAAAAAAAGACATTGACATCATTTTGTTTACTTGGGGCACACAAAGCTACTGTTTATTGCTGTAGTGTCAGACTAACATTTGAAGTCTTGCACACTATTAGCAAAAATTGTCTTGTGAGATCCAAGAACACCTTGGAAACCAAGTAAGCCCTTTGTTATTGTGTTTTGTGGATTAAACTTTAATGCTTCAGTGTTTCTTATTTCAAAATGGTGGCTTCATGAATGGAATTGGCAAGATTAAAATGACAATCCCTTGCTTGGGTCCTGACTAAACCACAACACAACTGATGTAATGTACAGAGACCCCGACTTCATGGATGGACAGTCACTACGAATCAAGTGTCAATGAAGTTCATCAACAGGTCAAGTCTAATTGTGATATTCACATGAATATTATAAAAGAAAACTCACCAGGGGTGCAAAACACTACGGCAGACTAAACTAAGATATTTGGAGTGTCAAACCTACAGTTGCTCCATTTACACATGAATACAGTGACGAAGTCTATAAGCTAGATGAAATAAAGAGCAAACAAGTGCAATTTTTTTTAAAGAGGAATAATAAATAAGAGGTGCTCTACTGCAGTCCAGTAACCATGCTAAAGAAAATTCATGTATAAATAATTGATTCAGTTGCAAATCCAATCAACCTAGTTTTGTCAAAATGAAAGCTAAAAATCACCGTATTGTGTTTTCTTCATCTGACATGCCATCCAAGGACCAAAATAAAGCAGAGGCTCTTGAAGAACCATTGAAATCCCATGGCCTGTTCATCATCCTTTGCGTCTGGCTGTATTCAACCTCCAAAACATCCAAGAGTTCAGGTAATCCAGTCTAAAATCCTTCCCCCCCATTTTTCTTATCTTTTTTTGTTTGCTTGGATCTTTTCACCCCAGCATACAAAGAGTCCCCTCCACCTAACCAAAATTATAAAAATGGAAGCCACTTGCAGAGAATAAAGTCACATAGAGAAATGTTTTTGGGTTGTGGGGAGGACAAAAGTGACCACAACAATGCGAGTCACCTATTCCTTGATCCAGAGCATATCAATAAAAAAATATCTGAGTAAAAACCTCACTCCTTTCATCCAGCATTGACATCTTCAGTAATAGTTACATTGAACTTCTTTGTAAAGAGACTCCGTCATGCAGAGGGCTGTTCTTTGTCCTTGTGTCCATATATTTTTCATCTCCTAATGCAAAAGGTAGGAGATTACATATTTCTATATTTGCCCTTTAAATAAATATACAAACAATAATTGAAACAAATTTTAATAACAAAAAAAAAAAAAAAAAAAAAAAAATGACAGACAGATTGACAGACAGTCTGACTTCCTTTCATTTAGTTTGGTCCCTCTCTAAAACGAAAGCTTTGCTTCAGGCTGACGGTGGAACAATTGTCGATATCCTTAAATATATAGAATACAGACAGAAACAAACAAACAGAATGATAAATGAACAGATAACCTGTAAAAAGTATGTATACTGAAAGTGTATACTTAACTGCATTAAATCTTTAAACACAGCATACCCTCTTTTAGAGAAGAAATCTCCTTTACAGTATCTTTTCAGTTTCTCTATATATACTACTGTATTTGAAGAAAACTCCTAGCATTCCAGCATTTGGAAAGCTCTACGTGTACAGTACGTTGTTTCCTGACCTGATCCTTCAGGCAGCTGATTGAACTTTCTCTCTAGTCATGCACTGAGGGGCCAAACTGCTTCTCTCAAGTCTCTCCATCCAGTTTCTCAACAGTCCTGTCGGACGATTACCACAAGCAAATACAAAATGGTAACAGGTCACAAATGAAAACAGGGAGTTAGAGAGAGAAAGACTTTGAGATGGAATGCCACATGTCAAACTGCTCCCTGAAAAAAAAACAGAGATCTAGTAGTGGGCTTCAGAAATGACTAACTCTAGGTAGAGTTTCATCTATTTTTTCTAGAGCCCAAGATTGTTATTTGGCTTGTACTTTCCACGTCTTTTCCATGTGCTGCCTCCAACTGCCTCTCTCTTCCTCCTTCCTTCCTTTCTTTCCAGGGGCTTGTGATATTACCCAGTGGCTCTTTTAAAAACAAATTTTCTTGGGTTGTGAGAGCTCCCTGGTCTAAGCTGCCCGTGCTGTTGCACTTTTTCACAGATGGGGGCGCTAGAGAGCTCGGCAGAAGCAGTGACGTGAGCGACAGGCTGCTCGGCGACTCCGAGAGCTGCTGGCTGTCACATGTCTGGTTAAAGCCGCACCGTAGCATCCCCACATCCCCATCAGAGCCTTGCTGAGTGCTCCCTGCACGGATGTTCTTTTCACAGTTGCTCTTGCTGCGCTGGTGCCCCCTCGTTGGTTGGAGGTTCTGGGCGGCTGGAGGACTGGGTCTCAGGGTCTCTGTGGAGAAACTAGCGCGCTCGTCGAGGAGGGTGTCCAGCAGGGGCTGGGGGGTGGATAAGATGAAACTGAGCCCTTCTTCCATGGTGGTCGGTAGACTGCTCTCTGAGCTGCCCGTAGCCAAGGAAGAGTCACTGTGAGATGGATACTGAGGACAGAAGGGTCAAATATTTTAGCAACAAATTGATAAAAAGATGTGTAAGATGTACACGTATGTAAGCCCATAAAGTGTCCAAATTCTGTCAAAGCTCTTGTTGGGTTGCCCTCAAAAAAAAAAATTCCCCAACTATACCCGCCCCCCCCCCATTTCTACCATTAGGAAATATTGTCTCTAAAATGTAATATTGTAATATAAACGATGTTGTTTATCGAATTGTATAAAATCAATATCACATTTGCAACTGTGCTGATATTCAGGGAAAAACAGCACTTTTGATTGTCTTGTCTTTGATTGACTATACCATATCTTGAATTTTGGAATCAAGTTAATGGGCAAACACCCAAGACAAATAACTAACAATGTCAAGCTTATTGTTGTTGTGTTTTTACGTTTCTAGTATTCTAGTTTCAATGAAACACAAGGGCCCCCACAGAATTTTTTTTGGGGACTTATAGGAGGTCCTGGAGCCCCCCCAGCCTCCCCCATTTAAACACTTAGTACATACCTGTGTGGTGAGCAGCCTGGTGTTTGCTCCAGGAGAGCGTAGAGATGCCCATGAGGCTGGGGAAGTTAGACGGAGCCCTCTTGGTTTGTGTCCCTGTTGGCCTCTTGAGGGTGCAGCTGGGTGGAAGAATTCAGCTGGGAGATGAATAAGAGTGTTAGAGCGACTTGAACCTTCAGAAACCTCTGGGTACTCTTGATTACTGCTGCTACATGGAACTCCACCTGCACACAAATTCAGTTACTGAATTTTAATTGAAATTAAATTGAGGTAGCAAACAGGATGCAGAAGGGCAATTTGAGTTTGAATTTACAGATGTAGAATAAAAAAGAAAAAAAATCACACAATGATGTTAAGAATACTCAGTTCTATTATTAAAGCACCCAATAATGATGTGAAACACATGTTTTACATGTCTAAACCATAAAACAATAAATAAACTAGTCAACTTAATCAACCTTTCATTTCGCCTCTAATTCAGGTTAACTGCTCGTTCACGCAGATGCTCTTATCAGCAGCTCAATGGATCTTCACGGACATGTCCGAGTCAGAACTGTTTCCTCAGTTTAGTGTACTGGTAACTCAAGAAATGTTAAAACCATTAGCTGACTCTTGACTCGAGAAAGAACTGCTATCAGTATACTGCTGGCTTTTATGTGTTATACTTTATGCTTTTCAGCAAAAGACATCAGAAACATACATTTTGCACCCTTTATGAAACCCTCGGCAGACAGTTCTTAGCATGTCAGACATGCCCGTAAGACTGTTCTCAGTTCAGTGTAACTAGAACGCTGAATGAGTTGGCAAAAAACGTCATCCTAGGATCATATACTCTGGGATATTGGTTCATTTTGAGATGGAGTGACTGTCAGACACATCTGAAAGTGAGTTTTGATTGAGTAACTTGTAGATCTGTGCTGACTTGTGCTGCAGACTGTTTCAGAAGGTTCAGTCCAATTTGGTAAACTGGTTCAGACAGTTGACTAAAAAGAACCTGTTCAAAAGAACAATTTGTTCGTGAACCGGACATCACTATTATGTAGTGGGCTTTGAAAATCATACACAATGATGAAAGAATGAGGTTTGTAGCTCCTTGCATTGCTAAATGCTAAACAATCTTTAGTTGCGTTGACAAGAATTTTTAAGTTCATTAGATGAACAAAAGTTTGTAGCTGCTATCTGAGTTAACAAATTGACTGTAATTCTTTAAGTTAGGTCAACTTTTTTAGGTGTTCAATTAAAATTCAAACTCTCAGCATAGCAGAAAGGAACAAAAGCACAACAGTTTTCTTGCTTTGTTCTCCAGTATTACTCCTGCAGTACTGTGAAGGTGCAGCATTACCTATGCTATGACGAGCAGGTGTGTTGTGATGTGGACTTCGAGAACCGCCTCCATGCGTTTCTGCCCCATCCTCTGCCCCGGAGCTGTGAACCCGAGAGGGTCGCCGTAACCTGCTGTGACCTCTCCCCCCTGGTTCTTCTGAGGTTAGACATTCATCACAGCCCCTTTCCTGAGCAAAAACATTAGCATGAGCTTTCAGTATCCTGGGAGGCGTTAGGACTCTTATATGCTAGCATCTTGCTTTCAACTCTTGCTTGCTTTCAACTCTTTTAGTTTCTCTCTATAACAGTAAAAGAGATTAAAATATTAGCTCACTCTAAAAAGAAAAGTAGCCCATGATTTACTCACCCTCAAGCCATCCTAGGTGCAACTCATGACGTCAGAAGTAGCGTAGTGCGTCATGGCGTAGCGTAAATATCAGCAGTACGCTGCATTACTCGCATAAGTTGCACTCTACACTTAAGTGGAATCCGTATGTTCATTTGGCCCGGAAGCTAGTTATTTTACTTTATAAAGTTTTAAAACTTTATATATTTTTTTTACACAAACTCATCGTTTTGCTTCAGAGGGCCTTTATTAACCCCCTGGAGCCGTTTCGATTTGTTCATGACGGATGGATGCATATTTTTGAGCTTCAATCTGTTGGTTGCCATTATAAAGATTGGAAGAGCCAGGATATTTTTTAATTTACTCAGATTGTATTTGTCTGAAATAAGAAAGTCATATACACCTACGATGGCTTTGAGGGCGAGTAAATCATGGGTAAATTTTCATTTGAAAGTGAACTAATCCTTTAAGGAGCGATTAGGCACTGCTGGATCACCTGAGCCATCTGCCCCACATATTGTCCTGTACGGTGTTTCTCTAACAAATAGATAGAGATGTTTAATGTCTGCAGAAGAACTCTGCTGGTTGAGTAGCAGAGCTACATGCCCCATGAGACTGCAGGATTTAGACTAAGAGCTTATAGTTATTTGATTACTTCAATCCAATTAGTGCGAGTCTGGTCATTCTAACTGATTATATTCAATTAAAGGATCATAGTTTGGGATGTAATGGATTACAGCAGTTATATATCTATCAGATAGAGGCAGTTCATTTTCGGGAGCATCAAAATAAAGCCTTTTTCTTTAACAACCAGATATATATGATTATATGATTGATGCTCTGGGGAATCTGAGCAATGAAAATACCATACAGTATATATAGCAAGAATCCTAATAACAGTGCATCCCTTCTTAAATAGATTTGAATATTTTAAATTGTAAGTGTGGATACTGAGATAATTAAGGGGGTGAAGCGTTGTGACAAAATCATCTTTTTGAGAGAAAGTTCACCTTGCCCTCCTTGGCAGTCATCTGGTACACGCTCTGCTCATCCAGGCTGAGGTCATCAGGCAGTGCTGGTGAGGATGACTTATCTGAAAGCTGCTCCGACCTCAGAGACGCCTGCTCCAGTTCAGCCATATGGATCTGCTGTGGACCAGAATTTATAGCAATGAGAATTGAGAGGGGATTTAATCATTAAAATCCTTTCATAGTATTTGGGGTGGTGATGGCAGTGGATAAGACACATGCCTTTGGTGTGACTGAGAGACCCGGGTTCGAATCCACTGCGAGACACCAATGTGTCCCTGAGCAAGACACTTAACCCCTAGTTGCTCCAGAGGCGTGCGACTTCTGACATATATAGCAATTGTAAGTAAGTCGCTTTGGACAAAAGCGTCAGCTAAATGAATAAATGTAAATGTAAATTTGAATTTCTGTGCCAGACCTACGGATAGAGTTTGCAGAGTGTGGTGAATTTTGAGTAATAAAACTGCCAAAAGAGACCTTGAATTGATATGGTTCATGTCTGAAAACGTGATGACTTTTCAAAGAAGAAATTTGGGTAATTCAAGAAGAGAGATGTTTAGAGTCAAAACAGAGTGAGTGAGAGAGAAGAGCTTGCAAATCTGGGCCCGTATTCCTAAAGAATCTAAGAATCCTTTTAGAAAACTCTTAATTTAGCTTAAAAACTTTTACGTAGGAGTCTTAGCTTAAGAGTGATTCGGGACCGATCTGAGAGCAACTCTGAGTAAGGAAAAGACAAAAACTCTCATCTTAGTGAGGAGGCGGGGCTGACCCCGTTGCTATGTATGACACAATCTTTTGAAGACTGTGATTGGTTGGTTGTCCAAGAAGGAAAAAAAAGAGCCATTTTAAGTATAGAGTTTACTCACACATGCACACACACACACACGCACATTATTTTTATGTATATAAATCCTTTTTTTTACCTTGCTGTTAATTTGATTGGCTTAGAATGATAAAAATTGTTCCACTCTTTCCAATTACACTGATTGCTGTCTATTTAAGTGGTGGTTTGAATGTTTGTTTTGAAAACATGGATTAAAAAAACAAGAAAGACGAGAAAGCCTGACTGGTCAGAAGAACCGTGTTAACTGTTAGCCGAGTTAGTGGATGAACACTAGGCCGTCCTTAAAGGAAAATTCGGGCAGGGTGTCAGAGCATGGAGCGAGAAGCGGACGTGGGAGCTTATAGCGCACATTATTAACGGTTCATTCCCCTGCTTGTGCGCACCAGGGAAGCCTGCTATATTCATAAATACAGTTTTTTGAGCCTGCAAGGTGGGAATGTCCAGTGGAAACTAAATGAACTGCGACACAATAAGAGGTTCTGAAAGTGCTGTAATGTTTGTGTGATCACTGCTTACAGAAGGTTGTCACAGACCCAAATCACTATTGCTTTATTGCATTTTCCCATTTGCCAAATATCTTAATGTAGTGATCATTTCTGGCGTTATGGCATTCCTGCGCTGTGTCGGAGATATTAGCGTGTCTCTAATAAGATCAGTCACAAACATGATCACTGCACGATCTCATCTATAGCGTCTTATTAACTCACTGTCGTCATCTATTGTCTGCATCACATTTCTTCTCCCTCTTCATCGTTCTGTCATTTTCTCCTCTGCTAAAGAAACTCTTAAGCCTCTTAAAAGTCCTCATCCATACTCCTAACAATTTTGACCTTAAGACCTCTTTTAAGGGTTAAGATGCTTTCTGAATTACTTTTTTCTTTACTAGGATTTTTTCTTTAATTTTAAGAGTAAACGCCCACATTTCTAAGAATTTTCTTAGAATTTTGTCACTAGGAGCTACTTTTTACATTAAGATTCTTTAGGAATACGGGCCCAGAGATGTATGGAGAGCAGAGAAAAGGCGATGGAAACAGACTGATGGACTGACATTGTTGGCAGCCTGGCAGAATGGCGGAATGACAGCTGTGGAGGTTACCCATTGAATTACTTCTTTCCTGAACTACCCCTATCCTGTCTGTCACTATGACGGGACACAAGCATTGGGAGACTTTGTGTGTGTACATTAAATTATGTACTGTAGTACACGTAAATCCATCCATCCATCCATCCATCCATCGAATGTGTAAACCTTAAAGACTTCTAAAAAATCATATCAAAGGTTTGGGGAAGCCAACATTCAAACTTTGCTTTCAAGATAAAAATTACAGTCATTTGAATTTCAATTTATTTTAATTATACTTCTTTAAATTAACATTGTATCGTGTTTGCTAAGACAATTCAAATTCAGAAAATTGAATTTAAAAGCCATTCTGAAATAAACTCTGAAGGGTTTCGATGTAGGTTAGTTCCCTGCCATTGACAGACTTTTCCATAATTTAGGACACAACGCTTCCCCATCATTGACAGAAATTTCTGGCAAACCATAGCCGTGTTTCCACTGAACTTACCCAGACAATTTGTCCAAGGAATTTTTTTCTGCCAGACCTGTTTCTGTCTGCGCTTCCATCGCGGTCTAAAGTACCATGAAAATTAGGCAAATCAGGCTTTACATGGAAGGGGGAATCTCCTCAACCACCACCAATGTGCAGCATCCACCTGGATGATGCGACGGCAGCCATATTGCGCCAGAACGCCCACCACACACCAGCTTACTGGTGGAGAGGAGACATAGTGATGAAGCCAATTGGTATATATATATGGGGATGATTAGGAGGCCATGATGGACAGAGGCCACTGGGCAAATTGGGCCAGGATGCCGGGTTTACACCCCTACTCTTTCGAAACACATCCTGGGATTTTTTGTGACCACAGAGAGTCAGGACCTCGGTTTAACGTCTCATCCGAAGGACGGTGCTCTTTGACAGTATAGTGTCCCCATTACTATACTGGGGCGTTAGGACCCACACAGACCACAGGGTGAGCGCCCCCTGCTGGCCTCACTAACACCTCTTCCAGCAGCAACCTGGTTTTCTCAGAATGTCTCCCATCCAGGTACTATCCAGGCTCAGCCCTGCTTAGCTTCAGTGGGCAACCAGTCTTGGGCTACAGGGTGATATGGCTGCTGGTTTTAAAGCAGATGCTCTGTTCTCTCTTTTGATATATTGCATGTTCAGATATTTATACAACAAAATATTCTGGGGGCCATGAAATTCTGTGAAAATGATCAAAAATACTGGCATGTGCATTTGCAACAAACTAGAGATGCACCGATTGATCGGCTGGTGACCGGAATTGGACGATTTTCACGTGATCGGCCATGATGCACAAATGCACTCAGGCACCGCATGGTTAACATCGCGCAACATCAGCATCACACGTGCACACAGAACGCACATGTAGGAAACCTCGTGTATTATTTCAGCGCGTATTATTTCCGGCGTGCATGTAAATCAATGAATGCATTCACAACGGGAGCAGGAGCAGCGCGTGAGCATCGAGCAAGGAGCAGCGGTGAAGCGCAGGTTTCGGCGCAGAGTCTATTTTTGCTACACTGCTCACGCTCAATTAAAGTTAAAGCACACTTTTGATGAACAAAATATAAATTATTTCACACAAAAGTGCCCAAAATGCACAGAATTTGCATGTCTGGTGTGTTTTAACAAGAACTGGAGTATATGTCAGAAAAGAAAATGAATTTTCTTTTTGAAATGAACACATTTTTTTAGTTGGATATTGGATGTAAAAAGAAGGAAATGGTTCTTCCATAACACTGCACTTTAGATGTGTGTGAATTTCCCACACCAGGAGTAATTTATATAGTCCTATTTTATAGCGATTACTGTTCAAAAATGTTCTATGCAAAATGTAAAATTTTCTACTAAAGAAAAGAGAGAAAATAAATATTTGTGTGAGCTGTAAAGTGGTTAGAAAAAATGAAATCGGAATCGGCTAAAATCGGTATCGGCAGGTCAAACTCTGAAAAATCGGAAATCGGAATTGGCCTAGAAAATTGTAATCGGTGCATCTCTACAACAAACACTAACAAATCTCCAGTGTGAAGCCGTACCTCTTGCGGATGAGTCCTGCAGTCTTTGCAGACGGGTGGAGAGGAGTAATGATGGAAGACAGAACCAGAGAGGTTGTCAATCATCAGCATCTCTCCTTCAAATGAATCTTTGATCAGCAGAGATACACTGTCCAGCCACAAGTTCTCCTGCGATACAAACAAACATCACCAGAGTTAATAAAACAGATGTATTAACAATAACTCACACACTGAGAAAATGTAGGGCCATAGACTGGGGGTTTGGAGATCTGAGAACGCTTTCCCAAAATCTATGATGACCCCCTTCATGACTCAGTATGAATAATGAACTGTAACATTTGGATGACTTAAAATATATCAAATAGGGATGCACAATTATTAAAATTCTGGATACAATAACCTGATAATATTATGGCTGATAAATGGCTAATAGTAAAATTCTTTCAAATTTTACCTACATCATTTTAAATAAAACACTAAAAAGAAGAATCAATAACGTTTATAAAAAAAACTACATTACATCAACATTATAATGTACAGAATAAAAAATGGATATCAAAATTTAAGATTTGCTATATATAACATTTAATTGTGACTAAATTATTAGCATTTTTATTGGTTAACTTTATATGAGTATTAAATGAAGGAAAAAGTAATCTAAATGTACATATAAGGGAATAAGCATACACAATTAAATCCAATATCAATAAAAATTAAAGCTACAAGCAGCATTTATTGGGGTTCAAGTGGTTTAAGGCCTTTAAGCACATGCATAAAAAGATATTATGTTTTCTTTAGCATGTAAACACTTAATAAAACTTAGGAAACTGTAAGAGTGGAAAAACTGGTTGAGGCTGAAAATTAACATTTGAACTCCCCCTCGTGCACCATTGAGATGAAAGGTCTCACCTCCCTCATCCTAATCTACATTTCTCCCCCCACCCCCCATGCGAAGATCAGCAAAAGCTCACCCAAGAATCCAAATGGTTTAATGTGAATGATTATCATCGACTATTATACATGTTTAGTATCATTCGAAATGTCTCAAATCAATGCGACTGGTACAAATGTCTCATTTCCAAATAAGTAAAACAAAAGGTAATTTAAGAGTTTAGGGATAACTGGCACACAAAGGAATGTGGTCTCTAGACAAACGGTCCTACCCCCAAAAGGTGTAAACTTCTGCATGCAAATATCCATTGTTAGCCTATATAATAAAATGCAGCAGAGGGCTCGGGGCTTTTTCTGAATCTCAGATCAGCCCGTGAGGCTGAGAGTGGCCGAGACTCTCAGCTGCATGTATTTCTTAAATGTCGGATTCGTCTTCTCTTTATTCCAGAGCATTTGATGTTTTGTATTGATTATCTTTGAACTGATTATACATTTACCTGACGACATAAATTCTTACATCTGATTTTTCTAACTGACTTTGATATTATTTCATTACAGTTAAAAGGAATAGTCAAACTTTCACTTATATTTAATGATGCACAGATATCATTAAAAAACCTTTTCATTTATGGAGTCAGATGAAATAACGAGAGAATATATATGAGAAAATGAATTGCATTTAATCAAAAATACTTTGCCACGAGAAAAGACAGTAACACGCAGAGACCTTCACCCGCTGATCGGATGCCTCCATTGGGCCGATCGAGCCGGGCTTTACAAAACCAAAAGTAATTTATAAAAGATCATATAAGAGATTCAGTCAAGAATCATTTTGTACAGACGTAAATAATTTGGATTGATGTTTTTAAGGAAGATCATCCTGATTATGCATTGTCAGCATTTGAAAGATTATTTTACCCTTTGGCGGACAAACATGCAGCTATGAAAAAATGTACAGTGAAGAATGTTAGGGCACCATGGATTGCTAATGAGTTGAAAAACATTATGTTTGAGAGAGATGTGGCAAAGGGTACAGCAAACAGAACTGGGAACAAGGAGGATTGGGACGTCTATTGCAAATTATGAAATCAAGTAACTAAAATTAATAGGAAAAAGAAAAGAATGTTTTACAAAATTAAAATAAGTGAATGTAAATATGATTATAAAAAATGTGGAGTACACTCAAGTCAAATTCCTTCTTTTATTGATACAGGTGACTCATTTTTAACTATTTTTAAACCATATGAAATTATTTTAATGATTTTTTCATAAATAAAGTTGATAAATTAAGAGAAGAAATGTTGTTTAGCAGAACCAGTTTGCCACATCTTTAATATCAGTATTGAAAAAGGGATTTCTCCTTTAGCTTGGAAAGATGCAAAGGTTATTCATCTACAGAAAAATGCAGCACTGGGTTTTAATGGTCATAATAGTCAACCAATAAGTTTGCTACTTAGCAAAGTATTGAAAATCATAGTTTGTGAATTAAGCAGTTGTCTACTGCTTTGGATGAGGAAATACAATTGGTCATGAAGTAGGTACGGAATAATAAGTTGGTTCTAAACATGATAAAAACCAAAAGTATTGTGTTTGCATCAAATTGCATCAAAAGTTGATTGCATCAAAGGTTAAATTTGTCTGTAAAGAGTGTGCCTATTGAACAGGTAGAAGAAATAAGACTTCTTGGAGTTATATTAGACAGTAGGCTGAAGTGGTAAAAAAAGATAGAAAATATGGTAACAGGTATGGGAAGAGGTTTGTCAGTTATTAAGAGATGTGTAAACTTTTTACCACAACACTGTATTTCTAAAATTGTGCAAACAATGGTTCTTGCTTAGATTGTTGCCCAGTGGTGTGGTCGAGTGCATCAAGTAAAGAAAAAATTGAACTAATCGAAGAATTACAATTAGTCCAGAACAGAGCGACACGAATCACTTTAATCATAATTTTAACACCAGGCATGCATAAAAGGGATATGTTTTATCTCCTGTTTCGAAAACCACTGCAAAACAACGGACTGTAATGTATAGAGGAATTAAAATATGGAATGATTTACCATTGATATTATTTTTTTTTAACAAGAAAAATTAGTTAAAAAAATATTTAAAGGAACATTTAATACAATATATAGTAAATTGTTGATTTTGATATTTGGAACGAATGTTGGGTTAGTATGTTTCATTGACTTGACTTTTTATTGTTGTTGATTAAATGTAGTTTTGTATTTTTTACTTGTTGGTACCCCAGGAAGAGTAGCCACTGCCTAGGTAGTGGCTAATGGGGATCCAACTAAACAAATACACTTAGATCATAGATGAAAAAAAAACCATTTAAATGGTAAATGGTAAATGGACTGCATTTATATAGCGCTTTCACAGACCCAATGGCCACCAAAGCGCTTTACATATTGCCTCACATTCACCCATTCACACACCGACGGCGGTGTCAGCCATGCAAGGCGCCATCCAGCTCACCCATTTACAGCCAATACAGGCAATTTACTAAGGAAAAAATGTTTTTTTGACAGTTATAGGACCATGTCTTGCCTGATCTCCACCACCTTTATTAGGTGTCCTCAAAGTGTGCCCATACATATGTGTGTTAAATTTGTTGTAAATATCTCATTTTGTTTTAAGTTTAGACATATTTATGAGAGCATAAAAATGATCCATGGGCGACATTGATTGGATTTTCAGATTTTTGTCAGTTCCTATAATAATTTTGATATATTGACCTATGTTTTCCAATTTCCTGTGGTGGTTTTGTCTCGATAGGACTAACGGTTTCAAAGATACTTTAATACGTTTTTTAAGCGCTAAATTACATCGTTACACAAACCATAATGCGAAACCTGGCATGTTTGGTATCGTTGGACACTGCAAGGATTCAGTAGTCTAAGGAGGTCACTTCCGTGAAAAACGCTGGCTTGAAACTTTTCAGGCTCCTTCAGGGCATTGTATGACGCATACTGAGTTTTTTTAGATAGTCTCATAAACTATCATGGTACCCTGGACAAAGATACTGCATGGTAATTTTCATCGGACTAACGGTTGGGTGCAGTTATAGCCATTTTCATGATTTTTTTTCCCTGTTAAAGCGCCACCAAGTGTCCAATCGTCAATTTTTTTCCATGTGACCTCAGATTGAGCTCATTAACATGTGTCCCAAGTTTAGCGAAAATATCTCTTTCCGTTCACAAGTTATAGCCGTTTTAGTAAAAGTGGCACCGGTCACATCGAACATTTTGGTTCCCCTTAGCGACCGTGAATTGAAATTTAGATTTTTAAAAAATGATTATTGATAGTCACTCTCCAGAGAGTATTTTCTGCAGTGTTTTGTAAGTTCTCGTCTGGTCTCACGGCGAAGGCTTACAGAGCCTGTGGACAGGTTGCTTCCGCCCTCCATGCCATGGCGCTTCTGCAGGTCCAGGCGCTCATGGACATGAACGAGGGTGGTTCTGACCCAGAGCTCCTCCGGGAGCACCGTGTGGCAACTGACCTCGCTCTCCGAGCGACGAAAGAAACCGCACATTCAGTCGGTCAGGCGATGTCCACCTTGGTGGTCCAGGATCGCCACCTTTGGCTCAACCTGGCGGACATGAGGGACACCGATAAATATCGGTTCCTGGATGCCCCTCTCTCTCAGGTTGGGTTATTCGGCGACACGGTCGAGAGCTTCGCCCAACAGTTCTCGACCGCCCAGAAGCAGACGGAGGCCATCCGACACATCCTGCCCTGGCGGACCGCTGCCACCATCCAGGCCTCAGCGTGGAGCAGGCCGCAGGAAGTCGGCCACGCCCATCCAGGCCGCTGCCAAACCAGGAGGCAAGCGCAGGTGCAAACGACCCTGAGACGGGAGAAGGTCTGGGCAGGGAGAATCTTTTGTTTCCCTTTCTTTCTGTTCCGCCACTGACCCACGGGCCAGTGGTACCCTCCTTTTCAACAAAAGAGCAATTTCTGAAACCACTGGGTCCCAAGAGGGCGCGCTTGGCAGTCGACGACGCTATGCCTTGTCACCCTCAAGCGCCTCTTTCATCGCCAGCGAGCAGCAGTGGCTGTGTTTCGGACGCACTGATGCCTCCGCACACTCACTCTGCCCTTCGATGGAAGCAGGTACGTGTTGCACCTCACACTCAGACCCCACTCCAGGCCGCTATGCCATCCGAGTCGGGTCCCTGCATTCCGTACGTCTGTGGTGCCATTGGTCCCGCTTGCGCGGTGTCTGGGAGCCTGGCTAGCGCTTCCCAGCCCGTCTCGCTGGGTCATCCGTACTGTCAG